AGACAGAGATATGTATATGTATATAGATATAGATTGATAGATATAGATATGGGTTACAGTATGAATAAATTTTAGAACTAGATTCTGAACCAGTGTTATTGATAAATAAGGACCCAGACCAGGAACCTAGAGGACCTGCTGTTCCAGCAGTTAAGGCTGCTAGAGTGCAGTTTGATAGTGACATTGCAGTCAAGATGAAAGGTAAAAGAACAAATGGGTCACAAACAGGAAATTGTAGGTCAGAACCAAGTCTAGATGAATGAAAATATAGATGGACCAGATGAGTGTAGAGGTCCTGTATGCCATATCAACAGCTTGGGTTGAACCCAGTTGGTAAATTCTTGGTCTTTGATGAACATACCAAGGGCAAGTATCAGATGATAGGTTGGTGTGGGGCCATGTTAATAGTGTTAAATGCTCAGCAGTTTATGGCAGGCAGAGAAGGGCTTATACCCTTCCTTCTATCTGTTATGGCTGAACAGTTCTTGGGCCTAGTTTTCTTAAAGTGGTTTAAATCCTCTCAGTTTCAGCTTTCCCCATTTTATTTGTGTTCCAGCTCCCTTTCTCTTACCAGGATTAAGTTGTATATGAACCTGTGTTGGATGGATGGTTACTGGCAAATTTTCTGAGTCTACTCCAAGGACCCCAAGGATTGTAGACAAACTTTTCACTCAAAATGGAATCAAACCCTGTTTGTAAAATGGTTTCTCCCAGGGCAATAGATAGCCTGGCAGACAACTGTTTTATTCACTATGGAGTAATTTAGAGTAGAACATAGCCTGATTTCAGCACAGCATATAGCCTTACATTAGGTTATTAATATTTTAATGGCTATTGTGTAAAAACAGAACATAAACCTTTAGTTACTGAGAAGTTCTTTATTAGCCAACACTTTAGAAAATCAACCAGTGGCATCGACATGAGTTTGAGGCTAGGTAGAGCTGAAGACGGTGTTTTAGGCTAGCCTGGACTATGAGAGATTCTCCTTTTCAAAAATCAAACCCCCAAACACACAGAGAGACCAGGAGACAGATAGAAAGAGAAAGAGAGAGAACAAACCAAAGAAACAATAAATAAGTAAATAACAAACAAACAAACAAATAAATAAATAGTCTGACACCATGAAGGCTGAGGTAGATAATTACAAGATCAATTTATGTATCTAACTCATATTCATATCTAAATTCTCTAGATGTTTTTCCAGGATATGTAATAATGAATGATCCCAAAGTATATCCAGTTAATTACTCCTCTTACAGCAGACCACACTCTCAAAGAAATGTTCCTACTTTATTTGATTGGTAAGGGGAAATGAAGAAGAACCACTGAAATGTAACTGTAGGTAGGAAGAGAGTATCAGCATATCTATGGAGCTGTTGAATGCATTTCCTCCTGTCAGGATGTGCTTGTGATCATTTGAAAACAATAAGCCACAAAACCCTGTGTTCAAATCTCTACTTTTATAACTATTCTTAAAATTCTTTTTTTAAAGTGAGTAAGGAGAAACAAGTGAGCACTTTGGAAATTAGACTTGGCTTTTGTGAGAGATGTCGGAGAGGCTTTAGAGAAAGGGTTTAATTTGTTTGGAGGATAATGGTGGGAATGTGGAAACTAGGATGGATAAAAGAAACCCCTTTGAATGTTTGTGGAGGAAAAAAAAGCAAACATTTCAGAGAGGCTTTGTTGTGCACGAGCCATCTGCTGTGGAACACTCTTAATTTGTATGTCTTGAAAGACCTGCAGAGTCTGTATTTTGCTAGCCAAGCACACAATCTTTATTGTTTGCAGGTTCATCACATGTGTAATTACACAAGTTTCTGCATCAATAAAAAAAAGTTGCAGTAAAAAACGTGAAAAAAAGGAAAATCAATTTTATCTTTACAATCTATGTAATTGTATCTGGGAATTCTGTGGAGAAAATTACTTCTTTTAAATAAGGAAAAGGAAACAAAATTTCTAGGCATAATCATTAAGAAACCAAAAAGTTATGTGAGGAGATACCAAATCCAAATCACGTTCAGAAAGCCAAGGAAATAATACATTTTTATTTTAAAATAAAAAGATTTCTTTTTTTAAATATATCTGATTGATTTCTCTTTGTGTTGATAAGTGCAACATTTGTGTATCTTTTTTTCTATGGAGGCCAAAAGAGGGTAATATATGCACTGGAAAAGGTGTTACAGATGGTTGTGAGTCATCATATGTGTGCTAGGAACAGAATTTTGGTCCTCTGCAAGAGTAGCAAGTGTTATTATTCACTGAGCCACCTCTCCAGAGCCAGACTTATTCATTTAAAAATAAAATAATATATTTGCCTAAGGGATAAATTTCCCTTAATTATTACTGGAAAAACTGTGATTCAAAACATCCAAAATAATGAAATAAGTAATTTTTGTCTTAATGTTTGTCTGCTATTTCTTACAGTAGCAGGCTGCTAGCTAGCATACTAACCAGAATATGAGAATCTACAAATGCTCTTCAAAGCAAATCATGAAAGACAGTGGTAGAGAAACTGCTTATAGTGTAGATAATGTTTCTCAAAATCTATTCATATCAGAATAATTGTTGTTGTTGTAAAAAAAACGGTAAATACCTGTTCAGCTTTTCTGTATTAGGCCTGGAGAGTCTGCAAAAGTCTCAAGCCATGCTAATGCTTTGGTCCTTGTAGCTGGCTTGAGTAGAAAGCATGTAAGTGACATTACTGGCCTTGATTTGATAGTATTTTTTAAGTACTAATAAGTACTTACAGTTTAATTTGCTCTCCTTTGGTTTTGTTGTTGTTGTTTAATTTCACACTAAAATTACTTCAAATACTATTTCTTTTGCTGTAGTTACAATTTTAATGAGTAAAATGATATATTGATACTAATAGGCATTCAGAATCTCTTTATGAAAAAATGTTACTTTTGGTTTGTACATTATTAGTGAAAAAGTTTGGGATGGGGGATTGAAGCAATGAAAGAAAAACTCAGTAGATAGAAACTTGCATAGTAAATGCATTGAAAGAAAAATAAGTACACTTTTAATAATTAGAAAAGCACTTTTCTGTGTTGAAATTCAAATATATCTGCAGATAGTTATGTATAGCACAGGATTTGAAGAATTAAAGGTACTCTGTATCATTTTCATTTGGAGGCTTAAGAACCAATGGAAAGCAAAATGCACCAGGGAAATAATTACATAGGCCACAAGATGGCGCCAAATATCCTCCTGCTCCCATGCTAGCGTGCTTGGCTCACTTGCCAGTTTGAAATCCTGTAGTTGAATTTGAGAATAAAATAGAAACTCGGTGTTTTAAGTAGTTAAAATAATTAAAATTTGAACCTAGCCATTACCGAGGATAGTTTAATCATAAGTGAACTCATGCATTTTAATCACAGATATTAAATCCATTTATTAGCTCACATTAAGTGATGGGGAAATGTACATATTCATATTCGATAAGTTTATTCTTCGGTGAATTTCCTTGGCAAATTGCAGTTCAAGTTTTATTGGAAGCACTAATAATACTACTAAAGAGTATCTTTGCAACCTTGCTTATTATATCTATGATTGTAAATGGATTTTAAATACCTGTTTATAACTGATGATATAGTTTTGTGTTGCTTGTTTATTGTTCTGTTTTTCTAACACTCTTTTCATTTAATCATTTCAGTATCTGTATCCAGCAGCTGATGGGTACAGATACAGAGATCCACAGCAAAACATTATGCAGAGCTCTGGGAACTCCACAGAAGTGGGGAAGGAAAAATTGTAGGAGCCAGAGGGTTCAAAGACACCAGAAGAGAATGTCCTGGCCCTCAGAAACAACTAAGCAGGCCTCACAGGGGCTTGCAGAGACTGAATCAGTAGTCATTGCTGTGGACGTCTTTCTGTATGCTGTGAATATGTGTTACTCTGACTGATTGATAAATAAAGCCATTTGGCCTATGGCAAGGCAGTTTAGAGGCAGGCAGGAAATCCAAACAGACAGTCAGGAAGAGAAAGGACAGGTAAGGTAGACACTACTTGCCACTTCCAGAAGAAGCAAGATGTAAAAGTATTGGTAAGCCACGATCCAAGTGGTAAAGTATCGATATATAGAAATGGGTTAATTTAAAATATAAGAGCTAGCTAGCAAGAGGCCTGCCATAGATCTTACAGTTTGCAAGTAATGTAAGCCTCTGTGTGTTTAATTGGGTTCAAGCGGCTGCAGGACCAGGTGAGACACAAGAAAACTTCAGTTATAAGTCATAGACCCGGTATGGGTCTACACCAGATCCTTTGAATGTATGTTGTGTTTTTTTAGCTAGAGTGTTTGTTGGACTCCTAACAATTGGAGTGGGGGGTGTCTTTTACTCTTTTTCCTGCTTGTGGAATCTATTTCCTTCCATTAGGGTTGTCTCATCCAACCTTGACATGGGTTTGTGCCTATTCTTATTGCATCTTGTTGTGAGGAGTCAGCTGATACCATTGGGAGGCCTGCTCTTTTCTGAAGGGAAACAGAAGTGGAACTGGAGGAGGGGGAGGGAAGACGAGGGAGGCAGGGGAGGCTGCTGAAGTTGAGTTGTATTGTATGAGAGAAGAGTAAATAAATAAAATTAAATTAAAAATACAAAATACAAAATTGAAAGTATTCAGTTCTTCCCTTGTTTTGCCACATGATACTCCTTCAGCCTGAAGTTTCAAGTGTCTAATTATTTAATGCTTTTCTTTTCAAAGCAGTGAAATCAAAGAAGTTGATGATCTTATTGTGAAATGCAGAGTATCAGAAAACTTCAGTACAATCAATTATACATATTATAGATATTTATGGTGAATTACAAAGCAATATGTGATGTGGATGATAGTGAAATGAAGAATAGAGTCTAATTTGAAGGGTAGTGTGGTGAGAAGTATTCAATGTGGAATCTCAGGCTGGCTAAGGATAAAAGTTCAGTGGGAACCATAGTGGAATCCGTTACTTAGTGATGTAATGTTCCTTGATCAATGATGTCACAAAACAAAGGCTGAGACAGAGCCTTGTGTAGAAATTAAAGGTGAAAATTGAGACAGTATTACCTGTTTAAAGAAGCCCAGTACTGAAAAGAATGACAATACCTTCTGTATTTTAAAGAGGATGCAGCCTATATTTTATGTTAAGATAATAGAAACTCAGAACAAATTTTCATTGTCTTTGTGAAAGAAGATCGTCAAGGTGAAAAAATTTTTTAAATTAGGTTCAAAATTTGTGCTTCAGCTTATTTTAGAAAACATGTTAAGTACAAAGCTATATGTAGTTCATATAGTTTTAGTTAAATGGTTTTCTATGTATTTATTTCATAGATAAAACGATACCCTTCACCTGAAGTAAACCTATGGTGGAAGATAAACTATTTGTGACTGTAATATAATAATTAAATGACTGACAGCACCATATGAGTTTTAAGAGGGGGACCAATTAAAACTATTTGGGAAATTTTCAAACACACACTCACTCATACATACACATACAAACACACACACACACACACACACACACACACACACACACACCACACATACACACACATACACACACAAACACACACAAACACACACATAACAATGTAAGTAACTTACCACTGAATGTGTCTAAAAAACTTAAAAAGCAACACTTTTAAGAAAATATTGGAGGAAGCTAGAGAGATGGCTCAGTGGTTAAGAGCATTTGTTGTTCTTGTTGAGTACAGTAGTATAATTCTAAGAATAAAAAATTTAAAAAATAGTTATAGCTCCACCTTCATTAGATAGAACTGACACATCCTCCAGCCTCTGTGGGAATCAAACGTGTGTAATACACTAACATACATGTATGCAAAACCCCATACATACAATAATATATATATAAAGTTAGTTAGGGGTTAACAATTACAATGAAATGACAAAAAATACTTTCTAGCTAATGATAAATTTGTAAATAACTTAGATTTTTATTAATATTACTGAACAGATTCAGAAAGAGATTTCTTTAAAAGTTAAGGCAATAAAATTATTCTTTTATTCTTAATCACAAATTTCATAGAAACTCACACATATTCCTCCCAACCTGCTTATAAGTTTTTTTATAGTGAGGACATTTGTACACCGAATGTATTTGAGTAATGCATGACAGAATGGATGTTTGAAATATTGAAATGAAATTCTCATTATAAAGCACTGACATTTGCATTACTTGTGGTCTTGAGACTTAAGAGTTCAAAGGAGTTTTAACACTATAAATTTGAGCACTTATTATTTTTCCCTGTGTGAACTTTGTGTGTTTTCTATATTTATTGGTAACAATTCTTATCATCCTTATCTTCAGTGTAATATTATTTATTTACATGTAAGAGTACTTGGGCCGTTGTAAAACATATTAACTATTCAGAGAGATTAAAAAAATGTGATATTTTTATAGAGCAAGGTGCTTGGCATCTATCAGTTTATCATTTCTTAAATCACAATATAGTGCTTCATGTGTAGCGGTGAGCCTATGGAAGAGTAAAGGTTCCTGTGCATTTGTTTATATGGGGGAGAACACTGAAGGTCAATTGGATGCCTTTTGCTGTTGCTTAAATTTTATTATTTGAAACGGGGTCTCTTCACTGAGCTTGTAGTTCACCGATATCCAGGATTGACATGGAAAAAAAATACACTCATTCATTAATCTGTTTTATTCAAAAAAAAGATACTACAGAAATAATAGTGACTGAACTTTGACGCAAACACAGTAATAAGAGCTGAATTTGTTACTTGCCAGTGGCCCTGTCAGAGGAGCTTCAGGCTGCAGTTGACATTAGGAAATAGACTCACCATATTGCAAGGCACTGATGGGTGAATTTCAGATAGACAAGGCTCCAAGGGCTTTGGCTCCAGAATGTCTCTTGCTAGCACTATGTCTTTGCATGTTTGCCACTGCCATTTTCCTTAGGTATCTGGCTTGGTGTGAATGGTGGGGGGGATCCCCACTGCCTTAAATTTAGTGTGATTGTA